CCGCAGCCTCAACCTGTTGGGCTCTGGCGATCCTTCCGCCTCAGCCTTCCAAGTAGCTGGAATTACAGGCACGTGCTACCACGCCTGGCTAGTATGTATACTATTTCAACTATCATTTCTATGTGGATGACTTAAATCTTTCCCTGCCTCTCTCCTAAGATACTGTCTTGTCTTTTAAACTGTTTTTTGAGCTGGGCACAGTGGCTTATGCCTGTAATCCCAAGACTTTGGGAGGCAGAGGTGAGAAGATTGCCTGAGCTCAGGACCAGCCTGGGCAATTTGGCAAGACTTTGTTTCTACAATAAATAAAAAAATTAGCTGGGTGTGCTGGTGTGTGCCTGTAGCCCCAGCTACTTGGAAGACTGAGGCAAAAGGATTGCCTGAGCCCAGCAGGTTGAGGCTGCAGTAGCCGTGAATGTGCTACCACACCCCAGCCTGGGTGACAGAGTGAGACTCTGAGCATAAAACAAACAAAAAAATTGCTTTTTGAAACTTTCTCAAATTCCACTTGAATGTTCTACTGCCACATCAAACTCAATATAAGCCCAATCAAATTAATAATAATCACTCACAAACCAGTTATTCCACAGGACTTCTCTCTACTTATTTTATTGACTCTTACTGCAAATAGACATCTACAATCTGATTCCATCTCAGGGATCATGTCACTGCCACTCTAAGCCAAGCCACTATCATTTCTCACTTGAATGAGAATGACTTTCCTGATTGGTCTCTTCTGCCCTAGTTCTACCTAAAAACCACTCTTAGCAAAAGGTTTTCTTTTTAAAACCCAAGTCAGATCATATTATTCTTTTGCTCAAAAATCTGTGATGGCTTCTGATTTCAGAATAAAAGACAATGTTGTTACCAATGCCTACAACTTATACCATCTATCTACTGTGCTCTTCTCTGCCTCGTCTCTTGCTACTCTCACTTTGCTCCAACCACACTGGTCTCTTTACTGTTCACATGACATACCAGGCACACTGCCACTTAAATACCTTTGTAATTGTGTCTCAAACCCTCTTCCCTCAAAGAGCTATGGGGCTTATTCTCTCACCTCTTTCAGGGAGACCTTCCCTGACTACATATAACCCTGTTCCTACTCCTTGCACTCTCAACATTCTTTCCTGTTTATTTTTTTCTTATGGCATTTAGTACCTTCTGATTTACCATATATTTTATTTGTTTACTGTCTCTCCCCATTAGATTGCCACAAGAGTGGGGATTTTTAAAAATCCATTTTTTCATTGCTATATCCCTAGCTCCTAGAACTATCTGGTATGTAGTAGGCAGCCGACAAATATTTATTGAATTAACAACCATTAATTCATTAACAAAGAATAATAATAATTAATTTTTAAAAACCCCAAACACAAATTTAAAGGTCTAGGGCTTTTTTTTTTTGAGTCAGAGTCTCACTTTGTCACCCAGGCTGGAGTGCAGTGGTATGCTTATGGCTACCACAGTCTAGACCTGTTGGGTTCAGGTGATTCTTCCGCCTCAGCCTTCCAAGTAACTGGGACTACAGGCATGTGTCACCATATCCAGCTAATATTTTGAGTTATTGTAAAGACGAGGTCTCACCAAGTTGCCCAGGCTGGTCTCAAACCCCTGGACTCAGGCAATCCTCTTGCTTCTGCCTCCCAAAGTGCTGGGATTATATGCTTGAGCCACCACGCCAAGCTCTAGGGCTTTGTGATTCCTCCTTTCCTTTATGTGCCACATTCAGTCAGTGACTACATCCACTAAATCTATTATATCAGTACTGCTTCTCACACATGCTAGTTTAGGACTTCATTATCTCTTATCCAGTCTAGTGCAAAAGCATCACAACTGATGTTGCCAACTAATAGATATCTATTAAGCACCTTCTGTTGGCCAAGCAGGTTGTTTGATATTGGGAATACAAAGATAAACACAATCCAAATCCTTTATTCATCTTACCATCTAATTTCAATCTGTTTTAACCTCTACTGATTTATCTTAAACACTTCAAACTGACCTCTTTAAAGCTATTTTATGGCAGGGTGCAGTGGCTCATGCCTATAATCCCAGCACTTTGAGAGGCCGAGGTGAGAGGATTGCCTGAGCCCAGGGGGTCAAGACCAGCCTGGGCAACTTGG